ATGTCCATCAGTAAATGATACATTTTTTCCAGCAGCACTGCACAGGTTTCTGAAATTGAGAAAGTTAAATTTTATGTGCTTGTTTGCAAATGTGAAAGAGCCCCCCCCCCACACACACACACACACTCCTAGTGATTAAATGTATTTTCGAATGAGCTAGAGTGTGCTGGAGGAGGAAGGGAGGTGTGTGCATTTGAACTTGAACTAAGTTGATTTTTTTCTGTGGCAGGCTCCTCAAGTTGCATAATTTAAACATGTCTGGCATAATAAAGTGGCTGCCACTCAGATTTGCATAACAGATATTTCTGAAGAGCTGTATCTGGAACCAATAATGTTGATACTATATAATCAGACTCCTAATAGCTATTCCGTTGGAACTAGAAAATATACTTAAGCAGTTGACCTAGGCAATAATGAGATGCATACCAAATAAGAGAGAAGTGTTACTCACCTACTTGATTGTTGCAAATCCTGCATTATGATTAACTCTGTCCATATCATCCGACTCAATATACTATCATTTTTTAATATCCAGATACCATGACAGGACTACGATGCCATGATAGTATTACCATTCCAAGAATATTATCTTGGAAAAATAGCATAGTATAATATGTGGCTCTTGTCTCTCAAGCTTCTGCAACATTCATTTGTAAGCTCTCCCTCAACCATGACAATCCTAACTGGTTTTAGAAGTCATCATGGAAGCTGATGATGAGAGAACTGAATTAAACCTCAAAATATATCCTGTAAATGATATTCTAGATTTACTCATGCTTTAGTTTCACTAATTTGTAAACATAAGAATAAGTATGGTGCATCATCTAAGGAATATCTTGGTTGTGATGGCACAAGATGTTTCGAAATGGAATTTTAATCACCAGAAGCAACTTACAGTTTCTCAAGTTGCTCCTGACTTGAAAAAAAAATCCCTTAAATACAGTCATGTAAAATATATAGAAAGATGCCTTCTTAAATTGAGAGCATGGATATGTATATTTGTGTGAGATCATAAAACATGAAGACAACATCCCTGTGGTTTGCACTTACGCAGCTTGTGCTATGTGAAGACACCAAATTGCATTGTAATATAAAATCAAAAGTAATTTTTTCTCTTATGTCAGTGATTCTCAACCTGTGGGTCTCCAGATGTTCTGGTCTTCAACTCCCAGAAATCCTAACAGCTGGTAAACTGGCTGGGCTTTCTGGGAGTTGTAGGCCAAAACACCTGGGGACCCACAGGTTGAGAACCATTGCTTTATGTCATTCTCTCCCATAACTCCCAAGGATCTCAATCTCATAGTCTCTAAACGAATGAAGAAAATGGAATGAAGGAAATATAGGGGCATTTATAGGGCTTTCATTCCTTGCAGTAGTGTGTGCTGAGTTTTGTGATTTCTTGGGATCCCAGCTTATGTGAGACTAGATCCATATTTGTTTTCCTATATAACATCAGGACTGAATACATTGCCTTTGGAGTCCCTTTTGACTAAATGTACAAACTCATGGTATTGCATTATGTTTACATATTAGCTATTGCTTGCCTTTTCAATCTGCGCTACTAACCCTATTCCTATGTGTTGTCATCAAGTCTATAGGAAGATTAAAGCAGTTGGTATACTTGGATGTGTCAAAAAATAGGATAGAAAGTATAGATATGGACGTATCAGGATGTGAAGCCCTTGAAGATCTACTGTTGTCCTCCAACATGCTGCAACAACTGCCAGACTCTATAGGTAAATAAACAGCATGAATGTTATGGTTAATTTTGAGGGTCTGTTATTACAAAAAGGAATTTCAATTAATTTGTTTCCAAACATTTCCTATAAGCAGAGAACCAGATTTAACCTTCCTACCATCATTGCCATCATGCATTATCTGAGTCAATAACCATGAGCCATTAGCTGTATTGCCTCTATAAGAACACACAATTTTGCATTACATCTGAAGAATACAGATACAATGCTTTGAATTTTTGCTTCACAATAAAGAGTGTATTTCATTTTCATATATAGAGGGTTCCACTTTTCTATACAGAGAACCAGTGTGATGTAGTAGTTTGAGCATTGGGCTACAACTCTGAAGACCAGGATTAGATTCACCACTCAGCTATGAAAACTTACTAGGAATCATGGGCAAGTGATGCATTACCAGCCCCAGGTTTGCCTTAGGGTTGTTATCAATCGGAAACAATTTGAAGACACACAACAGCAACACAACTTCTCTTTAAACTTTGAAATGCCATCTCCAATGTATTTTTAATTCCAGGACATGCAGTAGAAGTCACATACGTAATTTATTTAGGCATTTGCTAAGAAGAAATATCCTGTAATGACTCATGTTATATCTAATTCATGTCTTCATATGCCTAATTATATATGAAATTACAATTGCAAATATATAATGTAAGAATTTAATTTTAAATGGTATGATTACAGTTATTTTATTTTACTGTTGCTAATGTATGAATTACTTTTGTAAATAATGCACTTGCCAATGGCAAAAGCTCTCAGGTATGTTTGGAACAGCTGGCTGCTCATCTCAAGAAGAAGATACTTTGAATTAGAATGCCAGGCACCTTTTATCTTAAAAAGATCTTCACTTCAGTTCACTTCTACTGAATAGGCACCATTCAGTGGTTGTAGAAAAAAAAAGCCCAAAACACTCAAACCCTGCACTTTGTGCTACAAAAATAATTAAAGGAAACGGTATGCTAATGCCACATCTCATCTAATCTTCCTTTTCTTTTCTTCTTGTCTTCTCAGGGCTTTTGAAAAGGCTTACTACTCTAAAAGTAGATGACAATCAGCTCACAGTCCTGCCCAATGCCATTGGAAAGTAAGTTCAAAAGATTTTGTAGATTTTTACCGTCAGCCATAGTGTACAGCATAATCCTGTACTTGGAAGTAAATCCCAGCATGCTCAGTGGCACTTACTCATTTTAAATATGTTTAAGATTGTAGAATAGATAGGAAATGTATCCTCCAGGAACATGATTCACCCAATTTTTTCTTGTACACATGGGATTCTAAGCCTAAGGAGAACAAACATTCAGACGTTCTAAGGTATTTATTTATTTACTATATTTATATCCCACCCTTCTCAACCCCGAAGGCGACTCAAGGTGACTTACAGCAGAGGAAAAGTTCAATACCTTAAACAATTCAACAATCAAATAACATTTAGTTAAAAATCTAAATGAGGTTAAAAGCAATTAAAACATAAACAATAGGCAGTGATTGTTTTGGAGGGAAGCCATCTCTCATGACACACATTCAAAATTCCTTCCATCACTTCTTGACCATTGTGATGATAGCATCTGTGAGAATATTCCTTAGATTTTGTTCTGTTGCACTTTTTTTTCTTTTCCTCCATTAAGCATGTTTTTTCCTTCAATCTTTTAAACTTTTTTTACTTTGGTATTATTAATAATAACAAATAATAATATCCCACCACTATCTCCTGGGTGGGACTCAGGTCAGCTTCCTGAGCAGCACATGATGGTGCCACACAAGACACATAAAATACATATAGATTTATAAATATCAGGAACACCCATTGATATAAAATAACACTTACAGAAATTAACAAAAAACCCAAGTCAATTTAAATAATATACTCAATAAAAACGCAGCAAGCGCTACTACTGAAAAATCGGCTATAAAACCAAGTATTATTTATTTCTTTATAATTTTGCATTGGATGAGATTATTTGGTCTCCTCTGCTCATGTGAACTTGTTTGTTGAAAGGGCATGCTTTCAAAATGATTTAATTAAACCAGCAAACTATTACTTAGTGTATTGTTGAAGGCTTTCATGGCCGGAATCATTGTGTTGTTGTGAATTTTCCGGGCTGGATGGCCATGTTCCAGACTACTACTTAGTGACTGATCTGACTATTGAGGCTGAAGTGATTAATGGCCCAAACACCTCTGCTATGTCCATGTTATTGCTGACGGTTAAGTCTTTCTTTCTCAACTGACAAAAAGTTGTTAATACTATGGCAATTTTTTTGGGTTATAAGTTCACCTTCTATGGTGGTAGACCATACAGAGCTGCTATTTTTTTTTCTTACGAGTATCAGCACTGGACCTCAACTTGCAGTCGGTTTCCTCATCAGTGAGCAAAGGAAATGATCTAGTTCATTGGGTCTGGAAGTCAACAACAATAATAATAATATTTATTTATTTGACCAGTCATATGACCATTTCAAAATAGAACACGAGTAAGTCTGGAAGTCCATGAGTCCTCTCTCCACAGGCTCTGCAGAGATGAAAACATAGAGTGGAAAGACTGTGTCTTAGTACTTATTATCTGAGGTGCCTCTGACTTAGCCACCTTCTCTTCTACTTATCTTTAGACAAATTGCAATGACCGTTTTCTGTATTGCTGTCCATTTTAGGGACATATTCTCTAAAGGGCATGGGAGGGGTCTAAGACATTGGTATCAACTCTGAAGAGGATATTAAACCATTCATCTTTCTGTTGTAGAATGACTCCATGTCTCACTGCTTTCATCATAAGCTATGAACTCTCCATCTGTAGTGTATCTATTCTCATAGGGCTTCTCCCATGTAGTAATGTCTTTCCTGAATCCTGGTGAGCCAGGAACTGCCAATACTAAAAACACAGTTATAGTACTAGTCCCTGCAATCTAGACATTCATAGATGTCCCCGGGTCATATAGAGCTGGATGAGATGGGGAATAAATTCTATTTCATGGTAGTATTTTCTGTTTAGATACCCAATTAGGCATATCATGGAATATTTTCTCTGGAAAAGGATACCTCCTTTTTTTCACCTACCAAGTGATCAGTGAGCATGGGTTTTTCCAACATGGAGTCCATCGCTCAGCTAAGCAACAGTTCCAGAGTCTCCATCCCCCTCCATAACGATACAAAAGGTTTGCTAGGGTAGATCCTCTCTCACTCAGACTCAGTCCCCCCCCCCCAAATCAAACTCATTCCCCTCCCCCCGAATCAAAATCCTGGCTACAAGCCTGTCTCCAGTATATACCAAACTATTATTTCAACATTAAAGTAGAGTCTTCTGTTCTCTGCAGACACGATGCATTGCATGTGGCAGTACTTACTCAGAAAAAAATGTTCTTATATCAAGGATGTATCTTTTGAATGGTAAGGTCTGTCCAATGCTGATGGTGATGTTACCTCAGGCGAGATCCAGAACCTCTTTCATTAGTGTACTCATCCATGACTGGGGAGCTCTTCCAGATGTTCTGCACCCAGATGCCCTGCATCTTTTCATCGGTTTCTTTGACTGAACAACAACAACAACAAAAAGAAACAAATCTATGGTGGCACTTCTGTGATCATACAGATGACTACTTGAAGAGGCACAAGCACATTTTAAGTAGTCTGTTTTTCTTTTAGCACAGTTGATTTCAACCAAAGAATTAAACAATTACTTGACTAAAAACACATGAAACTTAAGAAGTGCTTATCTTCAGCCGGATTGTACCCACAATGTTCTTTTCTATTATATGGTCTATTCTAATGCTTCTCAGATACAGCTCCTGCTGTCAGTGGTGAGAGAATTATTTTCATTCTGTCCCCATGGGGCATTCCAATTATCTTATCTATCTTTTCTCTTGAAAGAAAAGACAGTGGAGGCATGGCCAGACAAGCAATGGAAACTTCTTATGTCTGTTAGCTTATTTATGAGGACTAAAGTACCAATCACACTCTGTACTTTCAACTCTACATTTTTATGTGTGTCAGTTATGTTGTGGTTATGTATGTTCTTCCCCTGATCACATTCAGATATTGTTCAGCTAAACCTGTCCCAGTTTTCAACTGTTAAATGTTGGGGGTATATGATTCATGGCTCTGAGGATGCTTTTAAATCAATCTTACTGCTTTAAAAGGTTACGCCGTTCACCTGAATTATATTAATCTATGATAGTAATAAAGAGAAAATTTTAAATTGTTTATTGTTTAGGGTATTTTTATTGTGCCTTTCAGCTTTAAATGTTTTCAAGGCAGATTAGATAGCAATACAAATAACATGAGAAGAATTGAAACTTATGTTTAAAACAGAATATTTCTCTCCAGTCTCCCCATGTGTACTGAATTTAACCCTTATCTCATGTTTGCAACAAGTAATAATAGGTTCAGTACTATGTGCTTATCCCTGCTTATCTTTCTTGTGAATGTTCTGTCTGAGTGTTTTGAAAAACTTACCAAGAGATTTTGTAAGCACATACAATGACTGCTCCAGGTAATGTTCCAATAGTTGTGCTAAGCAATTCAGGGTTTGGGAGGTGCGTCAAGGCTGTGCCTGTATGCAACACATGTCTTCAACCTGACACATTACACTGTAGGAACGTAATATGTAAGATTCAAAAACATAGCTGGGTTAATCTGGAATATCAGTATGCAAAGAGCTTTAGAGACCAAGAGAAAAAATTGCTACCACCTTCATTCTCTTTGGTCCCATTTACACATTTAATGCAGCTCCAAGTCAACTCAAATCTATGGTAGCTACAAAACGCATGCCGCCAATGTGCACTACAGCATGAAAACAGCTCATGAAAGAAAATTGCAGGAAAGTCCAAGTTAGGCTCTTCCATGCTATGCAGCAGATCCCAATATATCTCAAATTGCAGGGCAAAATTGGCACCATGGATTGCAGTGTGCATTGTAGATCCCTGGTCTTGCTGAAGCACTATGGGGCTGGAGAGTGTGGGATGAGGGGGTACTGAAAAATGCCCCATGGGCATGGATGGCTAGCAGGGAGATAACTGACCCCTGGGATGGGTAATTGACTACCTCCATTCTCAACTGTCACTTCTTCAAAATCTCCTATGTCTCTGTAGTGTTGGCATGCACCTCTTTGGAAATGGAGAGAAATGTGTTGGGAGGGGGATCCTGCAGACAGGTTTTCTGCCAGGTTCTGTGGTTAATGTAATCACTTTCCTGACCTCCAATAAATTTAAGACCTGTCAATCTAATCACCTGAACAGTTAAACTGATTTCTCCCAAACTGGTTCTAAGCTGGAGTAAATGCCTTCACGTGGCTTCTGTAAGAGAATACCAGATCCCTCCTTATGCATGTGTGTAAAAACTGTAACCATTTGTAATACAGCTGTAACTGGCTTTGTAGCAGTATAAGATTCTAGAAGGAATCTGGTGAATATTGTAGACCAGTGGTATCAAACTTGTGGCCCTTCAGGTGGACTACAGACACCAGAATTCTTGGCAATTGGACCAGCTGACTAAAGTTTCTGGCAGCTGGAGTCCCAAATATCTGGAGGGCCACAAGATTAACACCTCTTCCATTGACTACTTATTTGTTTGTAGAGAGCACTCTAACCTTTCAGTCCTCTCTATCGCCAGTCCTGAAGGTTAAAAAAGGATAAACAAAGGTGAGAGGTAGACTAACAGACAATCATACCAGCAGTCCTCATAAGTTAGCCCTCTAAATACAAATCTTGAAATGGACACTTTAAACATTTAGAACCATTGTGTTGCTTTCCGGAACTTACAAGTCCCCTTGAATAAGTAGGCTGTTTACTGGCTTCCTTACACAGCAAAATATACTTTTTTCTCTTGAAAAGGAGAGAAATTGGCAGGAAAGACCTGCTTTGTATTAAATTGTCACAACATTGTTCCCAAAGGAGGTGCATATTTCAAGCGCTACTCTGGTTTGAGTACTGACCCCGATCCCAGCAATAATCTGGGAGAAATGATGGAAGTGCCTAGAGAGTACTTTATTCCCATCTGTCAGAAGCCTACATAGTACAATGAAAGGGGGAAATGCCTCAAGAAGCAAAATAGAGCCAGCCCAGCAGACAACCTCTATATGACACTGTGGATGTTAGATCAGTTTATACAAGCACTAGAAGTAGTGAGGCAGCACATTAGAAAGAATACAAGGAGGTAGCTACAGGGGGAGTGGCAGAATGAGGGTGTACACCCCCAAATAAGAATTCGCATACAGCCCATGGAATTTTTTTTCATTCCCCAAATTTCTAGCAGAGCAGAGAGTGCAACGCTACAAAAACTTTCACATGTAGAACTCTTGCTGTGTTCACATTCTCCTGGTATCATAGTTATTGGCTTTTAGCTTGACCCCTTTTTTGAATGCATGTGTTTCTAAACATTCAACTAACACTCTATTTTACTGTAGTACTGGAAATGTGGAGACTTAAGGACAATTTCACCCAAGGAGACAAAATTCTCACTTGGTAGGGACAGTGCTCTCATCATCCTTCCAACCCATCACTGATTTCTTCGTTTTATAATCCTGTTTTTCTTTGTGAATGTGTATGTAAAACTGTAGCTAAATATTCAACATCATCATATTATCATATCTCTGCAATCCAAAAGCGGAGAGTCCAAACAGTGGTGTGGAGTGATTATGCTGAATGTTTGAATTGGTCCGAAGACATTTTGGTTGTGGTCAAAAGACAGCATATTCTGGAAAGGATATTTTTCAAGAAATCTAGGTGGAAAGTGTGGGGGGGGAGGGGGGGGGAGAGAAATGGCAGTGCTCCTAATCTGGTGGAACTTGTTGTTTTATCACTGGAAAAAAATGAATTACTATTTGAAAATCTTAGTTGCTATACAACTAAGGCTAGAATACTACTTCCCATGTGGTTTCAAGTCTGGCATAGGCTTTTGGCAAATATTTCATAGGGTAGTCAGAGGGCTTCAAGGAAGTTAATTCAGCCACTACAGTTGTCCACCCAGGCATGAAGCTGCCTGACTTTCTCTTGTTCAGATTATATCCAAAAAAAATCTTTATTGTAATGGAGTATAACATGGATAATATTTAGGACTGAGAAGGGAAAACAGGTAATGATATTTTTCCTGGGCTTTGAAACGGATATTTCAATATTACACTAGTGAATGGTTACCTAAATTGAGATTGCACAGATCCATGGTCACAATATTGGTATGGATGCCATTTTTCCCAGTATCATTATTCATTTTTACTCTGGTGGTAACCTACGGGGAATAGCATGGGGAAAAAGTATTTTTTGGCAAGTGCAGCAGGACAGTTTTGCCAGGTCTCCACTAAGGCACGTTCACTTAAGTCTGCAACTGCCTCAGTCAAGCACAAACCTAATGCGCATCTGGGCCAATTTGTCTGGATGTTGCTTTTGGAAATGATCACTTCCCCGGGTCTGAATGACAGCTTGGCACCCATAGGCATATAATAAAAAGTGTAACAAAGCTTTCAGCTGTTCTGTTCCCAACCCACTTCATTAATCACTCTGCAGCTCTGAAAAGGGTGACACACTTCAGTCCTCCAGACTAGCGTAGTCTTGTAGTCAGTGACAGAAGAAAAGATAGGGTGTGGATTGTAGATCGGGTTTTTTTTTTTGAGATTCTTTAGCCTGAAAAACATTAAAGATATATAACTGAAAAGAAAACAACATCTAATCCAGTACTTACTATTTTCCTTGTTGCCAGTGATCATAGGAGGATAAAGGATTGAGTCTTGGTCAGCTGTAAACCTTTCCTCTTAGGATGAAGCCTGCAGTTCACTTTTGCAAATTGATCTTGCACTCATTTGTAAATTAAGTACAGTAATAGGTACCTATCCCAAATAATTCACCTTGTTAAAAAAATAAACAAACAGACCTCACAACCTCTGAGGATGCCTGCCATAGATGCCAGCGAAACATCAGGAGAGAATACTTCTAGAACATGCCCATTTAGCATGAAAAACCTACAACAACCCAGTGATTCTGGCCATGAAACTCTTTCACAATACAATAAACAAACAAGTACCTAGTTTGTGATTGTTATGATTCCAATCATATGATCTATTTATCAAGTAAATGTTAATTTTCTGTCTTATTATGAAGATATGTAAGGGTGAAAATGCATATATACAAGTGCTTACTTAGAAGTAAAACCTATTCAACTCGATGAGGGTAACTTGTTAGTAGTACAGGATTGGAATATACTTTTACAAAATGAAAGCACGAAAATCTTCTGATGGGAATTGCTTTAATTTCCATTCTTATCATAGAGTAATTTTATGTCATGTCATCCCAGTATTACAGAAATTTATTTCTCAGTTTGAGAGAAAATACATGCTTACAAATGGTGGCTGATCCTTGTGAGATTAGGGTGAGACAGATGTCCTGAGATTTGAGTTGCTGATTTGTGCTTTCACCAGCAAATGTCTTATCATATTTAAGATTCTGTTGATGGTGACATATTTTAAAAATATGCTGTGCCATCATATTGTGTATTAACGTTTCTCTTCATTCTAGTCAGTTCCCAGAACAGGCACTATTTATT